AATCTTATTAACCTATGGACTCTGAATGGAAGAAAAGACTAATTGCTGAAATCTTGGCCTCAGGCAGAATTTTCCCTATAAAAACCACTTGTGCCAGGATGGAGGTGTGGGCATAGGGGAAAAACCTTTCCTGAGGCTGACTCCTTGTTGCACACCCAGGGTCGATCCCCAGGCTCGGCTCTGTGGTTTTTTTTCTGTGACCGCTAATAAAACTATTTTTATTTTTAATTTGGCTGAATAAATTTTCATTTATAACAAGCTTCAAAGCTACCAAAAGCTTCTTTTTTAGTACAGCAAGGTAATTATTAAGGCTACTGACCTTCTTTTTAACTTTAGGAAACAGAGCAGAGTAACCTTCCCATGTTCTGTAACACAAAGCCAAGCACATTTCCGGAACAGCGTATTTACAGCATATATGACTGATCTAAAAATAAAATAGCCCCTTTTATGAAGGATTGGGTTATTTCAGTTTCCCTTTCCTTCCTTGTTTTGTGCAACTTCCCTCCTCATCAGCTTCTTACAATTCACTTTCATATCTTTAATAACCCTATAGAAGTCACGATCCTTTCTCATCTACAGCACTCAGAATTCCCCACGCACTTTTTAAAACCTGGGATGACAACCAGGATTTTAGCAGATGACAAACTGCTATTAGCTCTCTTTTGATTTGAGACATTAAGAGGTGCACATTACAGCTTCCCACAGGCTTTCACAAAATCACAGAACAGCTGAGATTGGAAGAGACCTCTGGAAGTTCAACCCTCTGCTCAGGCAGGGTAAAGGCTCTCATAAGACAGTCAGTGCCACCTGGTATCAAACACACCTGACACCACGTGCCTTCTCCAAAGGAACTAAATAACTCTTTTCAGGTAAACTAGAATTTCCCCATCCCTGAAAGTAGGAGATGGATGATGATGGAACTATTTTATTTTACTTGGATGGGAAGTTAATTTAGAATTACTTCTGCATTTCACATCCACACCCTATTGCTCCAGAACTGTCACTACAGTGATTTGAACACATATTTTGAAGAATATGCTTTCAGTGGTTTTTAATCCTTCTTTCATCCTCCTTTTTTACCCTTCTTTGTTCAACTTACTACATTTGCCTCTTGTTTATTAAAGCGTTACAGCTTCTGGCTCTAGCACAGGAGGGTAATCATACCTTTTACAATGAGCAAAAATACAAACTGCCTACTTGCCATCTGCTTGCCCTGACAAGAGAATACAAATGCCCTGACCTAATACAACAGTGCACATCAACCAAAGTCACAGGTAGTTTATGCAGGATTAAAATGTAATATGCAGTAACAGCTATGGTCTAAGGCAGAAAAATCTCGGATTGCTCAACACCTCATTTCAAAACACATTCTCTTAGTCTGTGGTAGTGAGGCAGAGCTCATTTCTATAAATCAGATATTGCCCTGTGCTATGTGTCCTGGCCAGGCATAAGGACTGCCCTACCCCAAACCTTCCCACCACCTGCCCAAAGACTTCCCTACAAATGCCTGTTGATTGTGTGCATAATCACACAGACAAAACTCCTGACATTTTATAAAGGATTGTATTAATGAAGCACTGTTGTTGAATGAACAAAGACTCTCAGCCATTTTTCTAGGGAACTAGAAGGATTCCCATTAGATGCAAAACAAACAGAACTTCTCTTTCCAGGAATAAGGTCTACGCTTGCTTTCATCTCCCAAAATCCAACAACTCCCAACTTTGCAGAAGACCCATACAATCAGGATTCTCCACATCCTTCATTAACAAGGCAATGAAAACAAAGAGAGCATGACCAGCATCCACATAAAGCACATAGCCCAGGACTAAAGAGCTGCACAGTTCTATTACCATGGTGTCATGCTTTAGGAAGCCTATGTTTTCAAGGGAAACTGAAGGAAATAGACAAACACTTAAATAGCTAACTCTGGTAGAAAATAAAAATTAATCTACTTTTTAATATTTGATATTGAAGGGCAAGTATAAAATTACACATGGAATATTGTATTCTAAAGTAAAAAGCAATGTTATGTCTGAGAGTAAAGCTGGAAGAAAGAAAAGTATAAGAGATCCATAATAGTCCCAGCCCCCACCTCCTCTCTGGATCTGCCTGCTCAAACAGATCAGGAGCAGACAATGAAATTCTTCCCTCCTCCCATTCTAAGAAAACAGTGAAAACTGTCAAACTCATAATGTTTCCTAATCTACAGGGGCTGAGAATATAAATGATATTTGCCTTAGGCTGGTCCAGCAGAGCATGCTTTTTTGATTGTCATATCCAGTTAAGAAAAGCAATATGCTTCATAAAATGGAGCTTCTATTTTTGACTAGTAAACATTATCTGGTGCAATTTTTAACTGGCTCAACCCATAACAGCAATATTTCATATCCTCAGTATGTCCATGCACTAGCTCTTTTTCTCTTAAAATGAAAAGCAGTAAAACAGATTGCCAAATACAGCCAAACTCCAAGAAAGCATTTATCAGTGACTCAACTCAGCTCATTATGATACAGAATTTGATTTTGCCAGCTTTTATATCCCAGAAAGATACATAGCAAATAAACCTTATAGAGCTTGCCCTGTACTAGGATACATCACTGTCCAAGAGCTACACACACAAGCTAGAGCTGAGGGAGGTTTAATGCAGATCTTGCTGGCTTGGCAAGGTTTGCTGAGCACTCACCTTCTGCTCACTGCAGAGATCTGCCACTACTGAACCTGAACTGCTGTGACTCCATGTCCCAGTTCAGGAGCACTGGGAAGGTGCCAAGAGACCAGTGAGCTTGGTATTGCATCACACAGCCATGGCCTGCCTGGTGCTCAGCCTGTGGCTAGGACACACTCCAGCAATTTAGTTTTATTTTCCTTTCTGAAAATATTAAAAAGAAATACAGCAAAATACCATTCAAAACTACTTCTGGTGCTTCTGCAGTTCAAGCTTTAGGTCAACACCAATGTTGGAGCACTTAAGAGCAGAAATTCAAGTTTGCTGTGCTGTAACCACAAGAAATAAAGAAAAGGAACCCAAAGCAAATCTCTTTCAGCACCTCAAGAACAAAACAGCTTGCAAAAACCTCAAATGATTTCAAGGAATGATAGATTCACTACTTGTTTGCTGCCTTTTCCTTCCTCTATATTATTTTCTTTCTCTGTGTGATTAGTCTTACACTGGTAAAGTTTTTAGCATGCTAACTGGAGAACATACTAATCCAATTATGATGCTATAGGATTTTCTTAATATTCCTGAGAGTTGTATTGAATAGATGACTAAGTACTTGGGATTCTTTTTTTCCCCTTTTATTTCACTGAGAAAGCATGGAAGTGGCATTTTGACTGTGACATTTATTTTGCTTTATTCTTCCAGTGAAGAGCCACAACAATGGTTATGGTTTCAATGAGTATTTGAAGAGACAAAGAGTAAGTTTTGCTTTCAATTATTAATTTATAGTTGTAAGAGTATATATGGCTGTCCAGAAAGTAATTCTGTCTTTGTTTTAAGTCATAAAAGCCTAATATCATTCCTGCTGCAACATTTCAAAAGTCATCCCATGTTATTGGTAGTTTCATCTTCTTTCCCTTCTGCAACCACTCCAGCATATCATTTTAAGGTGTCTTTAAATTAACCATCAAATAATGGGACTTTTTTTTACTTACTTCATTTCTTTTAACACTACAGGGTGAGCATTGAACTCTACAACCACTTCATACTTCCTCAGCTGTCAATGTAAAACAGCCATATCACATAAGTCCTCAGCACTATGGTACTACCAAGAAGTGTCCTTCCATGCATATCTTTTTTGAGGGAGACCCATTTGGCACAGCAAATTCCGTAGCCCCCCCTTTCTCTTTGATGCTGTGAAGCAGCTAGTCCCTAACTCCCAATGTCCTTCCTGGTGGATTAGATAAAGGTCTTCAGGTTCCCTTTCTCATCCAACTCTCCAGGTGTGATTGAGCACTGCTTTGAAAAGGAAAGCTTCCAAACCAAAGTGCAAAGGATAGGCAGCTGAAAGCCTAGGAAGCAGGAGGCATTGGAAGGCCTACAAAAAAAATCTCAGTTCTTCATTAATGCACACCAGCTACACCCGGCACACAGAGTCACAGGGTGGAAGACTCTGGTGGTGCCTGTTCTATTATATACCTGAGAACAACCATCGAGTGCAAATTCATTACGAACCTCTCAGCATGCACAACATAACCTGCGCATTTGGGAAGCAGGCAATGCTGAGCTCACACTGTATGTTAAGACATCATGTGAAAAGACTGGGGAATTCTGCTCCTCATTCTGATAATTATCATTCCCCACAAACAATGTGTCATTCACAAACCAATATTTCTGGTCCCATTTTGAGACAGTCAAGTGCTGCTCTGATCAGATTTGCAAGGTGTACATAAGTTTAGCAGCTAAGTCCCATTATGAAAAGCTACTTAGGAACAACTCTGAAATATATCTGATTCCATAACGTGCTTTTGAAAGTCAGGCAAGGTAGATAATTCCCTCTGTTAATAGGGACTCTGATCACATTTGAAACTAGGGCGTTACACCTGCTAGTTTTAATAAGTGGTAGGATATAGAGACCCTTTTTTCACAGCACTGGGGCTTCTTCTCTGAAGGCTGAAGCCACTGTGAGTCAATAGAGAACCAAATTACAGCATTTCCCTCTATTACAAATGGAAGGTAACCAAGAAATGTACAGTTCTTGCAGATGAAGAGAGCTGCTTAAATACCATTGGAGTCAATCCCAGCACATGCAGATGGCACTACTCAAGGTGACAGGAGAAATGGATGGTCCACACGGGGAAAACGAGGCCCTACCGCCTCTCACAAGAGCGGGCAATCCCAGCCGGCTACTCGCCCTCTGGAGTTCCGTGGCCGCCAGTTTTCACAAGGCGACCTCTCCGCTTTGATCCGGGTGGGGACTGGGAAGCTCACCCCAGGAGTGCCCACAGCCCACCACCAGGTCCCACGGCCAGCTCCAGCCGGACTTCGACACCCTCCTCACCTTCCACCAGCTCGTCCAGGCTGGTGAGCTTCTTGCTGCCATCGATGGTGTAGATGGTGCGGACTCCCTGGGGCAGGTTCACGTTGTCCGACAGGGACCGAGTGAGCTCCACCAGGAGGGCGTCGAAGGAGCGGAAGCGGTCGGGGGAGATGGCGTACACCAAGCCCTTGAAGTACCTGTCCCCGTTGCGGTAGAAGCGGGCTTTGCGCGCCTTCTTCTCGGAGCTGAGCGCCTGCAGGGTGCGGGTGCGGTAGAGGCTGCAGTGCGCGCTGTGCGCCGGGCTGGGCACCAGCCCATTGCCCCGCGGCCCCGCGCCGCCGCCGGACCCGGAGCCTCCTCGCCGCGGCCCGGAGCGCTGCTGCCGCTTGTCCCGCTCCTCGAAGTGCTCCAGCTCGATGCTCCGGCTGCTCGCCATGGGGAGCCGCCTGCCCGCCCTCCCAGCTCCGCTACTTGCCGCTACGCCTGCCCGCCGCGCTCGCAAGAGCTCGGGCCGCCTAACGGAGCATCGCGCCCGGCCGCTCTCGCCGGGAGGGCTGCGGCTGAGCGCGGCGCCCGACCTGCCCCACCAGCACAGCCCCGGCCCCGCCGCGACCCGCTGCTGCGCCCGCGGCCGCGCACAAAAGCATCCCTCACGCCCGAGCGCGGCGCCCCCCGGCTACGGGCGATGCCGGGGCCCGAGCGAGAGGCTGGCAGGAGCCCCGCGGCCGCGCCCCCGCGCCGTGTCCATGCGGGCTCGCACAATGCGCGGGTGCCCTGCTCAGCCCCTTCCCCGCCGGCTCCGCCGGGCAGCGGCGGCGGGGCCGGAGCGCCTCTTTGCTCCCGCAGCGGGGGCAGCAGCACCGCCGCTCGGCTCCCGGCTCCCCGGCGGAGGAAGAGCCGCAGCGGCGGAGCGGCGCCGGCGGCCCGGCCGTGAAGCGCCGCGGAGCCGGAGCGGAGCGGGCGGAGCTCCCGCCGGGCCGGGCGGGCGCGGGGGCGGTGCCGGCTCGGATCGCGTCCGGCGCGGGGGCGGGAGCGACCGGGGGAAGGGTGGGAGCGCGGAGGGAGGGGGTTCTTCTAAGAAAGGAGGGTTTGGAGGCGCAGTTTTCCCATAGGGTAGTGCTGCCCTTTTGGTGGTCGTCCAAGTGCCGTACGTCCCTCAGGCGCACCCGCGGAGCTGCCCGCCAGCTCTCCCCTGGCTTTACGTGGCTCAGTCACCGCGTTAAAACGCTAAAAATGCTCCTTCTGTACGGCCCTCAGCCTAACTTACATGCCGCGGGACAGAAAGCTATGCATCCTGTCATTTGTTGGCGGAATTGCTTTAAAGGGCATGTAGCAATAGGACATGGGGTAATGGATTCAAAGTGAGAATAGGTTTAGATTGGATATTGGGATGAAATTCTTCCCTGTGAGGATGGTGAGGCATGGGCACAGGTTGCCCAGAGAAGCTGTGGCTGCTCCATCCCTGGAAGTGTTCCAGGCCTGGTGGAATGGAACTTTGAGCAAGCTGGTGTAGTGAAAGGCATCCTTTCCCATGGCAGACGGGTTAGAACTAGATCATCTTTGAGGTCCCTTCCAACAAAAACCATTCTGTGATTCTATGATTTTCCTTTTGAATTTGCCACCACCTCTCCCTCAGGACTGAAATAAACCCATTCACACAGCCTAAACCTCCTCAATGCGCTGCATCTGACGTTTTGTTGTTTCCTCAGACATCTTCTCAGTGCTCCTGAGGTTGCCCAAATCAAGTTCACTTGTCATAGAAATGGCCAACAAATGCGCTGAGATGGATGCAATTTAAACTTTTTTCCAACTTATTTTCAACCATTACAGAACATATTTTCTTTTCTTGGCACAATGAGAATTTTAAAAAATGTAAAAGCTTTTATAACTATGTACATTTTCAATATTTTTTAGGTCTCTTGCATTGGGAAGTTGCAGTTGTGTTATGTCATTACAGGTGACCACAGGTTGTGCTCTTCTGTCCAATATTCTTTGCCACAGTTTTGATGGATTTATTATTATTTTTCTCTTTTTATATTTTGAAATACCAATGAAATCAAGCACTTTCTTACCATTATTACTGGGTTTCTTACAAAGTAGATTAGACATCTAGCTGCAATATTCTAAAGATGATACAGAGAAAATGTCAGTGAAACTTACTCTTTATTGAATTGCCAACTTCTGTGATGCCTGAAATCCTCCACAAGCAAAAAGAAGAGATAAATAATGGAGGTGGATTATCTCCTCTGGTGGTAAAATCAACAAAAGGAACTGAATGAGAGGAAATTTTGTTACAGCCAGGACATGAATGCGCTTGCTGAGATTAGAAGCACAGGACTTGCCTAGGAATCAGGACCTAGAAGCCACAAAACAGTATGGATCAACTTTTTAGACTGGCTTTGATATGTAGTTTCTAGTCCTAATTACAGACAAACTTACACCAACAAAATTCAAACTCACGTGTGTAACTTTGCTCTAAAGTGAATGAGTCTCAGCTGCAAAGTTATAACTTTTTCCAAATGGTATCACGCTTCATGGACACGTCTGGCCTTTGCAGAACAAGCCACATTTCTTAGCTCAAACCTCAGCAGAAGGTTATCTGGACTAACCTTTTTCCATTTACTCAGAAGCAGGTCACAAAAGCCCAAGGAAGTTTAATCCCCCCTCCTACACACCTTTTGTCTCTCTGAACTGCTAACAATAGCCGCAGGATGGTGCTCAACTGTGTGCAGAGGACTCATGCAGACTAATATGTAAATACATATATATCTATATATGAATTGAATGTATTGGCTGTGTCTGTGTCTGAATATAGGTTGGAGAATCTGGTGCCAGGGTTACCATTTTGCCAGTTTCAAGTTGTTTTGCTGAGTCGTAGGATATGTCATGTGCAGGACTTGCTCTGACTTCTGAAACGTCTAGCTAGAGATGGGATGGTGCAAAAGGAATTTTATACAACCTCCTGCAAAGTAAAGCTGAAAGGGAATTCTCCAGATTTCTCCAGGAAAATTCTCTCTCCTCCTCAAAGGGAATTCCTGCTACAGAGAACTTCCAAAGTCTGTAGACCAACTGTGTTTTATAGCATATATAAACATGAAATTGACTTCTGATGTATAAAACTAAACTATTTATATATTAAGAGGCTATTTACAGAGAGGTTGGGATTAGATCCATATGTATAGCTACCAAGGAAATTCCTGGTGACACCTCAAACATGGTCCTACAACTTGTGCTCTTTTTTTTTTGTCCTCCTCAGATGTTATGTTTATTTTTAATAAGATCTGTAAGCCCCTATTGCACAGAGCTTCCATTGGTGTGTATGCTTTGCCTTTTCCTTGCCATCTTGTTTCCTCTACAGAGTTATCTGTAGCCAAACAAATGTTTTAAAAGACTTTCCAACATGAGGAATATAACCCCAAAACAACCCCATGTGCATCTGAAGAACATTTGTTTCACACTTTAGAAAATTAATGTGATTAATGTGAAGTCCTGTATGAAACTGACCTATGAATTCCCATTGTCTTCTTCCACAATAGGGTTGACAAATTAGCAGTTCACTTTACAACAAGCAAGGTTACATGTATAAATGATACCTTGCTTATTAACCTAAATCTCCAGACACCATTAAAATGTGATTATCATAAATTCATGTGATCTTCTTCTGTAAATATACATTTCCAGTTTAAATAGGAAAGAGCTTGCTGTTTTCATGTCCAGCTAACTAATCAGTTCTCTCACCTTTGTTTTTTCTCTTTCTTTTTCATTGTGGTAAGCATAATGAATTCTTGGTTGAAATATCTTCTGGCATGGAGAAGAGCTCCTATGTGGTTTTGTTGCTTGTTTGGTTGTTTTAAAACAAGCAAACCCTGTGAGAAATTTCTAAAACAAAACTAAGAAAAGTTTACCATCATATACAATGTCTTTTTTTCCTTCTGTTACCTGAACGTTTTTACCATCCTGGTTGTAATCAGTGACATTCAAGTTACTCGGAACATTTAATAGGATTGATAGGTGAGATTCAGTTCAGAATTAGAGTTTACAGTGGGTGGTTTTAGAAAAAGTATGTATCTGGCCTTTACATTTAGCCCATTGATTTCACCTTGAAAATAATAATACATAATGTCACTGAAGAAGAAAAAAAACTACCATAAACTTGGGGTCTGTTGACTGAAGATTTTATTTACAGAAAATATCATTTGAATAATTCAATAAGGAAATGTTTACAAGGCTGTCATATTACCAAATTTGATTATTTAAGCAATTAGATGATAATTTTAAATTATTTGTTTTCAACCCAAGAATGCTAAAATTCTTTTAAAATATTCATACAATAAAATGTCTCGGCATCCCTGTGAGAGTCTATGCCCTACTTCATAGATGCATAAAATGGGAAACCAAAAGTTTAAGCAACTTGACCAAGTAGCAGAGAAATATATCAATGTATGTGGAATAAGGAAGATCTTCAGTCCTTAGTGAGGCAGCTGTGCCCAGGTGGCCAAGAAGGCCAATGGCATCCTGGCCTGAATCAGCAAGTGTGGCCAGAAGGACCAGGGCAGTGATCATCCCGCTGTACTCAGCACTGCTGAGCCTGCACCCCGAGTCCTGTGTCCTGTTCTGGGCTCCTCACTACAGGAAAGACATTGAGGTGCTGGACCATGTCCAGAGAAGGGCAATGGGTGCTGGAAAAGGGTCTGGAGCACAAGTCCTGTGAGTGGCAGATGAGGGAGCTGAGGGTGTTTAGCCTGGAGAAAAGGAGGCTCGGGGGAGACCTGTCTCTCCCCCTGTAAGGGGGTTATAGCCAAGTGAGGGTCAGTCCCTTCTCCCAAGTAAACAGGGTTAGGACAACAGGAAATGGCCTCAAATTGCACAAGAAAAGGTTTATACTGGATATTAGGAAAAAAATTCTTCACTGAAAGCGTAGTTTATCTTTGGAAGAGGCTGCCCAGGGAAATGGTGGAATCACCATCCCTGTAGGTACTTAAAAGATGTGTAAATGTGGCACTTAGGGACATGGTTTCACGATGGACTTGGCAGTGCTGGGTTAGCAGTTGGATAGGATGATCTTAAGGGTCATTTCCAATCAAAACTATTCTATGGTTTCATAATCTCATTAAGGGTCATTTCCAATCAAAACTATTCTATGGTTTCATAATCTCATTATGAAGCTGTTCTTACATTAACACTTCTTGATGAATGAGAATGTGAGTCTGGGTTATCTCTATACAACTTAATGTATCATAGATGTCTGAATCTGGAATATGTGGTAAGTCAGTGTATGCATTTAGAAGGCCTCAGAATTATTCACCAGTGAAAATGCCATACAGAAGTTCAGTTACTTTTAAAATGACTTTGTACACTTTCCAAAGGATACCTTTGTCTTTAAATTTGTCTTTAAGAATATTTCTGAACATCTATTTAAGATTTTTGAAAGTAGTAAAAAACCATATGAATAAAAGCCATATAAAAGCAATGTTGATCCTGAAACACAAAATTGTAGAGAAGAAAAGATCCTCACATTATGTTCTATTTCAATTTGCTGTAC